ATCTTGTTCAAGGCTCGATAGTCACAGCACATTCTAAGAGAATCATCGGTCTTTTTCTGAAACAACACAGGAGCTCTGTATGGTGACTTCGCAGGCATAATGATTCCACTCTCCAACATTTCTCCCAATTGCTTTCTAAACTCTTCAAGATCTGGCTGAGACATACGGTATGGTGCCTTGGCGGGAGGTTCGGCACCTGGAGTAAGTTCAATTTCATGATCAATCGTCCTTGGCGGTAATTTCTTTGGTAATTTGTCCGGCATGATGTCCTCAAATTCCCAAATAAGCCTTTTAATGGGTTTTGGAATAGGATCAGTCGCCTCTTCGATCTCCTCTAATCGAAGAGTGCACAAAAAAGAAGGTTCATTTCTCTTGAAACCCTTACTAAATTGCATAGCTTAGATACTCTTCTAGCCCATTCTCCCAACTTATATAGGGATGATACACGGCTTATTACCCATCATCATCAATGAATAGAATACGACAACACTGCTGTCTTAGTATCCCGAAGAAATTCCAATCCTAGAATAAGCTTGAAATCTTCCATTTGAATTGCAGATAAATTTGTCCTTCCCTCAAAAGGACCTGCTTTGATCAATACTGATTTCGTCACTCCAGCTATTGGTTGAGCAGTGGAGTTGATTGCTTTAACTTTCCCACTACCCTTTTCCAAAACAAGTCCGAGTCGCTCTACTTCGGTACATGCAAGGTAGTTGTGGGTAGCACCAGTATCCACCATGGCCCTGATTGGCTTCCCATTGATTTTTACATCAATGAACATTAAGCCTTTGGCCCTACAAATACGAGCCTTCGCTACTTCCATCTTTGCTTCTTTCAATGGGACATCATCCTTTTCAGCAACCCGATGAGATAGTGTGTGCACCGATGTGAAAATGCCCCAACTAGTTCCTCATCCTCTTCAGAGTCAGTCTCATTATTACAATTAGCTTGCGGGACCTCTTGTTTTGAACTTGGCCCGCCACTTGCTAACTGACAATATGCATTCACCATCCGCTTCTGAGGACACTCTGACACCCGATGAGG